CCATAGAAAATCTGTGGAGGGAGCTGAAGGTTCGAGTTTCCAAACGTCAGGCTCGAAACCTTAATGACTTGGAGAAGATCTGCAAAGAGGAGTGGGACAAAATCCCTCCTGAGATGTGTGCAAACCTGGTGGCCAACTACAAGAAACGTCTGACCTCTGTGATTGCCAACAAGGGTTTTGCCACCAAGCACTAAGTCATGTTTTGCAGAGGGGTCAAATACTTATTTCCCTCATTAAAATGCAAAATCAATTTCTAACATTTTTGACATGCGTTTTTCTGGATTTTGTTGTTGTTATTCTGTCTCTCACTGTTCAAATAAACCTACCATTAAAATTATAGTCTGATCATTTCTTTGTCAGTGGGCAAACGTACAAAATCAGCAAGGGATCAAATACATTTTTCCCTCACTGTATACCGCTTGCCAATGTTTGTGCTGTGTTTTTGGTTCTTGAATTAAAAAAGCCACGTATAGCAAATATGTGATGTCGTGCATACGCACATTTTACATCTGCAACTTATACGGTATGCATTCATGAAGTTAAAATGTGGTACCAGTTTTATATTTACAATAAGGACGTAGACTTATTTTAGTCTTTTATATTGATTGGTTGAAGATGTTGAACAATACTTCCATTGAGCATGTGGAAAGATGGATATAAAAAACAAGCCTTCTTTTAAGCCTGGTTATTATGCTAGGCCAGGATCTATTAGCAGTTGTTCATTATAGATCGTATCATTGCAAGCAACCTTTGCTTCCTCATTGCTGACACAATAGAGGCAGTGATTTTAGTTTGAGCCAACCCTAAGCGAGGCCTGTGCTAAGTTCAGATAAAAAAATAAATCAATGAAGGTCTTTACTTCGGACCCAGTCTGAAATCCATGAGGTGCAAAGTTCTTGAAAAACATTTGCAGACCAAACAGTGATGCTGCATTAATCACCCTCATTTTTACCGGTGGAACAAACTTTGTAAAGTCGTAATAATGAGCCAGTAATTAATGGGCCTTTGTTCATCCACTGCTAGATATTAACAAAGGCCAGGTAACAAAATCAGGTCACTGGGTTTAAAGCACAGCAGGCGAACCACTGCTTCTCCATGCCTCCCGAGTAATTCATTACGACAATTGTGAGGGTACAACAATAATTACTTCATATCCAGCAATGCAAAAGGACATTTCATTTTACAGCGAGTAAAATATCGAAAATGAATTTCGTTACATCGAGTGTGTTTTTGTTGTTGTTGCTCCTGTCGTAGAGCCCTCGACAAACGAACACAATGTTGGAAGTCCAAATCACATTTTGCCTCCTCCAGCAAGGCGATGATGAAATGAGTACAACCTTGTAGAACGTTGGCAGACGTTGTCCTATGGACAGACTACCCCCCACCCCCCACACACAATATGAATGTGGAATTTCCAAAACTGGAAGAGGGCTATCAACAATATATATTAAAACAAAGAATAATATAAATTCTCCTTTGAAACGTTGATACAGATACCCACTTGTCTTTGATGGGTTATATACAGCCCATTATCTCTTTTGGTATTTGTTTTGTAAGTGTTATTATCAGCCTCTATCTGCTGTGAAGGATAGCCATAGCATGAAATGTCACTAATTATATACTTTTTTTTCTGTTTAAGACCGTGTTATTGACGAATGTACAGAGTTTGTTTGCTTGTAAATTGTGCTTATTGTGCCACTGCCAATGCAGTATCACCAGATAATTTTACAAGAAAAGTTGGTTAAATGTGAGAAGTAGATCAATGTTATTTATTTCAGCAGGAAGGGCCCAACGAGTTGCTCGGCTTCATTCCATTGGCGTCCTGTAATGGTACAGACCTTACACTTACAGACCTTAGTTACACAAGCATAGTTACATATTGGTCGCGGTACAAAACAGGGAGCATCAGTACACACTTCATTGCCAAGCTGATTGAACCAGTAGACACTGATGTGCATGGCTGAGAATGAAACTCGCTGGAGAGTGGCGGCATTGTCACAGTGTTCCAGCCACTGTGCAGCCGCTCCCTTCGCTCGCACGCGAGCACGCACACACACCCCCACATTAAAGTGTCTTTCATATGCGTTAGAGACTCTCTTAATGGGTGAAAGCTCTGTGGGTATGATGGCATTGGAATGTCGTCTCAGATACGCCTTCATTGTCAGATCGTAGACATGGCTTTTCATCCGACTGGACTCCCTGCTCTGACTGTTTTTTTTACACTCGCCTAACCTCTAAACGCAGGGCGCAAAAACAAACACAATGATGCTTGCAAAACCTCGGTCCTTTATTCAAGTACCTGAAAGAATAACACGAGGGAAGCTCAGACTTTGATCACCCGTGCCTAAAGTGGAATCTCCTCGCCGTTTAAAACTGCCAGGGGATACGCGCCACTGTGATTCCCGGCGGCGCGTTGTGCCCTACGGTGTAGAACGTGACCTACGGTGTATAATGTGACCTATGGTGTAGAACGTGACCTATGGTGCATGATGTGCCGCTGGATTCAATGTCACAGGTGAGGCTGTTTAAACTCCCACATATCCACCCCACCTCCAACTCTGGTGTTTTTGTTGTTGCTAAAGCTATACTTTATTTCGAAATGACTGTTTAATATGGCTATGTGGCCTGGCATTTAAAATATGTTTACATTGTCATTTAATGGAATAGTTTTTTTCTGCAATGTTAAAACGAAAAAAAAAATGCTCGTGTGTTTCTGGAGATTGTTGCTTTTCATCTTTCTTATTATGAGCGGACACTTTAATGGCTTAAATCGTTTGCGTTTATTGTAAGGGGGAAAAAAAAGACAAAAGCATTTTCATTATAAACCAGAAAACCCTTCAAACTACCCTTCATCCTTGGGAGGCTGAAAAGGTCCGTAGTCGTGTCAACACTTTCTATCGGGGCGTGTCGTCTTGGATGCCCTCTTACTTGCACTGGGAAACAAAATTGCTCATTTACGTTCGTGGCACGGTAAGCCGACGAGCTTGCGGCCGAGAGAAGCGGCGGCTTATTTTGAAAGCCCACCGCTTGTTTACGACGCGCGAGCCATGGAAAACTATTGCCCGTCTCGTCTCGGCAAGACGTAGCTGCCCTTTGTTAGATGACGCAGTCTCGCGCGAGGAGACCCGCGGGGCGATTGCGGTGAAGTTTGGGCGGTGCGTCGTCGTCGTCACCGCAGCGGCAGCACGGCGCAGGCTCGGGCACGCAAAAAAAGGCCAAGGGGTTTTACGGGCCCACTGGGGGCAGGACGGGACACGGAATTTGTTCACGACTCTTTGCCCGTGCAATTATATAACTATTTTAAATCACAAAGAAACCCTTCTCCGCTCAAACTTGCTTGAGAGAGTGCTCGCATCGTTTGGTTGACCTGAGCCAGCAGCGCGGATTCCCGCACTCTCACGGTGGGAGCCCTGATATTGTCTGATCTTGAAAGCTAAGCAGAGTTAATCCTGGATAATGCTTGGATGGGCGACCATCATGCATAACACTGGTTGCTATAGGCTGCTCTGGGGCTACGCTGTAAGCAGCAGATGGAACTACCTAAAAATGCATTGTTGTCCTGTACTGTGCTTCCATGTATATGCTGCCCACTTTCACCAACCTGCTCTGACCAGAATGTGAAGTTTGTTCAAATAACCCCCAATACCTTTACGGTGGGGTGAGGCCCGCATCTAGCAGTGGATTGACAAAACGGATGTATATCTACAGGGTGGGAACTAGTTTCTTACTAGAGGCCACCGCTGTTGACTTATCACAAAGTGATATTCTATTTTAAGACCGTGGAAGGTTGATGTTTTGAGTTTATGATCTAATTATGAGCAATTATGAGCTCTGGCACCAGATAATATAACAGCTTTAATAATGCATAACTGCAATGTGTAAAAATACTGCACGCCACATTTGCCACTTGGATAATATATGACGACAACATTGATCCACGGTGGTTACACTATGGATGGGTTGTTGGTGAGTGGAGTGCTGGTATAGAGCTTATCCCAACTCCCACTGTAAAATTTCAAGTCTCATATGAACACATTTTTATATGCGTAGGCGTATATACACAGCTGTCGATGTCGCTGTTTGCTGATATGAATGCATTGTGTTTACTCAAGGCGTGCACACGCACACACGCACACGTGAATCCACACAAGCATATGCGAAGGCGATTGCGCCGCGGTTTCGCCTGGCAGTCTGCAGGAAAGAGTGCTGCTGTCCAGCACTTCTTAAGACTGGCACTGTGCTGTGGTCGGTACTCAGCCGTCCCTGGGGTACAGGGTGAATCGGGGCGATTGCCCCGGGCCCCGCGCTTTGGGGGAGGCTCCGCGCTTTGACGTCACGGTGTCAGATATAATACTTCCGGTTGAGTTTGCAGGTGTCGGTGGCCCGCACGGCGTGATTTGTCCCAGGCCCCGCATCCCCCTACGGACGGCCCTGCCAGTACTGCACCCTGCTGCTTTTGTCTCACGACTGCTGATGCTCTTAAAGTATACCACGTACCCAATTTTAGGATGCATTGACTCTGTGGAGGTCTAGGAACTGGGCGGATACAATGTGCCACTAATGTGGCAACCCGGAGCACTGAGTTCGGGCTTTTGTCCGCACAGTGTCTGTGCTCGTCTTCACTTTGGTACGGTTTGTGCTTTGTGCAGGGCTCTTGTTAAAAAATGAAAAACACATCTACGAGAGAGAACCAGGGTAACCCGTGCAGAATAGTGGGAGAACATACAAACTCGACACAGAAAGGCGCCCCGACTCAGGAATCGAACCCAGACCCCACCTGGCCACGAGGCTCGGGTGTTACCTCCCGGCCGCCCCCGTCAAGTGCCCTTGCCTCGTCGTGTTAGGTTCGTTGTCCTTCCCCGCACCTCCGATTAGCATTGGCTGGCCACGTGCGGTGCGAAAGAACGAGCTCTCGACATACGCACGCACAGTCAATCCGCTGTCGTTGTCCCACTCTCAACCAACCCCTGCCGCCGCCGCTGCCGCCCTCGCGACTGCAGGAATTCCCCGCGTCACGGCGCAGCCCGAGCCGGTGTCGGCGCACGCAGGCGATGCCGCTGTCCTCTCCTGCGAGGTCGGGGGCGAGCCGATGCCCGGCGTGCGGTGGCAGAAGGACCGGGCGAACCTGACGCTCGACGGGCGCCGGCTGGCGCTGCTGGCCGGCGGGGCGCTGCTGGTGGAGCGCGTGGAGGCGGGCGACGCCGGCGTTTACCGCTGCGTGGCCGAAAACATCGCCAGCTCGCGGGCCAGCGACGAGGCCGAACTCGGAGTCCTAGCCGGTACGTCGCCCACCGCCCCCCCCCCCCCCCACCCAGCGTTGTTGCCATTCCAGAAGCCCAAGGCCTGCTGCGTTTGTGCCGCTTATGGTAAAGATAAAAGGCAAAGGTGCGGCCCTGAAATGCCTCGCTCACGCCACTGCTGGCAGGAGAGGACCTCCACTCGAGCGAGCTCTATTGAAGGCCTCTAGAGAGTATTTTTGCCTACTCTTCCACGCTGGTCAGACGTCTTGGAAGGGGTGATAGTACCCAAAGTTTATCCTGCCATTCGCAACCTGCCAGTTGACTAACTGTGGTGTACGGGTTCATACTGCTGGGTCCACAGAGACGCTGGGGATTTAAGAAACCCGGTCATTGTTTCAACTGCCGTGCCGGGTAGATGGAATTGAACCGCTAACCTGTGGGATTGCAAGTCCAGTGTGCTAACTGACCACGACACCACGGCATACTCCCCCTCCACCTCTGCTGACCACGGAGGTGGTATCATCTATGTCACGGGTGCCACCGCTGACAATGTTTTCTATTCAAGCGTCCATACGGCAAGAATAGAAACGTAGGAATAGAAACATTGTGACCTTTGCATGATAAGCAAGGGCGCGTGTGGCGTTCCATGAACCGGGACACAAATTGGGACATTTCATGGGAAGGAGAGTCTCTCACATTACCGGAGGGGAGGAGACCTACATGCACACGCATTGCCTTGAATGACAACTGCAAACTGACAAATACCAGGACATTCAATGCCCTGGGAAGATTTACACATTTCCCAGAAGATCTACTTCAAAAGCAAGAGTGATTCTGATCAAACCTCGTGTCGTGCACTCCGATTGGCACCTCCGATTAGCACGGTTGGCTACGTACGGCGCGAAAGATGTTCAACATACACACATACGTCCTGTGAGTGCAAGTTGTTCAACATACGCACATACGTCCTGTGAGTGCAAGTTGTTCAACATACGCACATACGTCCTGTGAGTGCAAGTTGCCCGAGCGTGGGCGGCCGCCTCATTATTTGTGGGTGTTCTCCAGGCTTTCCAGTTTTTTTTGTCCGCCCCCGTCACGCATCTGAGATGCTCAAATTTGGGATAAACAAATTGAGGGCCACATCGCAAATGCCTGCCACGGGAATATGCCATTTCCACCACCGGGTCACGATTTCCAATTGAAGTGAGCACTGCCACTTTGAATGAAAACTGAAATTTGGAGACACTGAATTTTTTCAAAATTGTCTTCTTCTGATTGAAACGAGTTCACTTTGGTCACTATCATTAAGTGGCAGAACACAAGGGGAGGGGGGGGGGTCATAATCTAATTGTATGCAGAGAATGTTTATAGGTTTGTGATGACTGAGGCAGAAATTACTTTCAGCCCAAGTAGAGAATTTGGTTTGGAGACTTCCAGTGTCAAGTGTAGCAGATTAAATTGCTTGTATATCACAAAGACCAGAAATCTGCATGCATCTTGCGATCATTCAAATAACAGCGGGCAACCCAATATCACCATCGCAGAAAAAAACACATATCTCGAGCATCACTGTATTGACACTTTACCGTGGTACTTTCACCTCAGCTATCCCTGTTTTATTCCAATCCAACTCACATACCACGTGTTCTCTTATTTGATTACTTTGCCATTTCTCCTTGGCTGTCTTCTCTCTCTGTGCTGTCAGTCTGTCACTGAAGTTGCCTCTTACTTGTCATCATGTCTAATTACATTTTTTGTCCAAGTCCAACTTGGTCATTCATAACAGTGAGCAAGGTGTCTGTTGTCTCCTCACAATATTAAGGTTATTTTTTTCTTCAATCATTAATTTGTTTTTACCTCTTGTGGTATTTTAGACAAGAATTTGTATATATTCTAACACACATCCTTCTGTACAAAGTAGTAGTGTAAACCTTGAAAGTCCCCCGGGTGTAGTAATTGCCGTGCAACAAAGCGGATGTTCACACGTTGTTAGTTATTCCATTGGCAGCTGTTGTGTGGTGGGGCGAAGTGTGGTTGCTCCCACCCCTTTCAAGGTGTTTGGCCATCGTGGAAGAGTAGGCCCATTGTCCTCTAGCCCAGGGGTCCCCAACCCCCAAGCCGTGGACCGGTACCGGTCCACGGCCTGTTAGGAACCGGGCCGCACAGCAGCAGGAGGTGAGCGGTGAGTCTGCGCGTGGCCCGCCCATTGTTTTATTATTTACCACTTCCGTCCGCGCCTCTTTCACGCACTGCGCACTCGTCTCAGTCACAGTTTTGGTAAGCCCACAAGCTAACCCCTAGTAGCCACAATGAGTAAAAAACAAACATCGCTGGAGAGCTTCTTTGAAAAAAGGGAAAGACCCAATGATGAACCCCCCCTCCCCTCCTCGGTCCGTGAAAAAATTGTCTTCCACGGAACCAGTCCCTGGTGCCAAAAAGGCTGGAGACCGCTGCCCTAGAACGTCTCTCGAGAGCTGCCTATAGCGGAGGTTCTTCTGATAGCAGTGGCATGAGCAAGCAGTCGCAGGGCTGCACCGTCACCTTCGCAAGACTGATGCTCATCGCACGCCGCCGTCTCAGAACGAACGCTCTGTTTTGTTTACAATCGCAGGGGTGTGAGCGTGATGCATCGTGCGCACTTCCCATCATTAATCCGTTAACAAACGCCAAACGCGCATTCGTGTGTGCGCGTCGCCAGCGTGAGAACATTGACGCGCGAATCCCGCAGTCGAATTTTTTGTAACTCCCCGAGTCGTCTTTAATATTTTGTGAAATACACCTGTCGGACCGTTTTGTTTCATTTGATCTCAAAGCCCGCGTAATACAATTCACATTTTAATAATGCACTTTCGATGGGAGGCCTAGGGGTCTCGGCGGATCGTACACCACTGCTGGGTGATTTTGTTGCTATACATATTCTTGGTTCTTTTCGGTAAAGTCACGTAGAAGGGAAACAATAAAATAACGGTGGCTTTCAGACCGCATCCATTATTTTTGTCTCCCCCCTCCTCTTTTCCGAACATTGATGGACTCGTCCATCTGAATAACTGCCAAATCGCTCTCCGTGGTGCTAACATTAAAAAAAATCCCGCCACTGTTTTCAAACTTTCTTGCTGTGGTTTTCACACCTGATTATGATTGCTTGTGTTGCAGTCGAAACGTCGTGAGAATTTTATTGTTTTATATTTTTATTATTTTATTGTTTCCCTTCTACGTGACTTTACCGAAATAACCAAGAATATGAATCCCTGCAGTCACGAAAGCTCGAAATAAAATTTTTGTTGCTGTTGAGTTTGTGGGGGAAGACACAATGACTTATTCTCTCCCCCCTCCTGGTCTTCTCGTGGCTCTCCTCCCGTCCCTGCATCGGGCAGAATAATTTGTCTCAAATTCGCCGTTCCGCAGGAAAATGTATCAGCCAGCCGTGGCATTACATTGTGATTCCCTCCACCTGCGTGCATATTGTTCAGTTAATCAGCGCTCCACGTGTGCGTATAGGCCAGGGGAATGGCGTAGTGGAACCCGAGTTCGATTCCTGCTCACGGCCGCACATATCCGAACTGGTCCTAGGCCTCTCCTAGGTCCACTCTGCCTTCATTGAGTATCCGGCGCAGTGCATAAACATTGGCACTGGAAAGACAAAGGTGGCCGGGCGTGGGGATGGCCACCCCGACCCCCTCGTGCACTGTGCCCACCTTCACAGGTGTTCGCTAAAAGCACTTGCCCGAACTGCGTGTGTAGTCTGTACGGGGAACATTTGTCTCTCTTTTGGAGCTAGTGGCACAATGGTGATTGCACTACAGAAGAAACTGGCAATATGAATTAAATTCCAGGCCATGGATAACATCAGTGTCGAGTGGTATTTTCCCTGTCAACAGTGCTTTGTTGTTCAACATAGTTTTTAATGATCGCCCGGTGCAATTTGTGAACAGCAGCACTGGGGAGACAAAGGCAGCCAGGCGTAATGCCTGTCCCACCGTCTACACAGGCATTAATGGATCATCTCTGACCACACTCGCCCATGCAGTCTTTAAGAGTAAACAAGGGGTCATTATCTTTGTGTGTGTGTGTGCGATTGAGTGTAGTGTTGATCACATGGCCCATTCATGTGCAATGCTACGTTTGATGGGTGCTCGCTAATGACACTTGCCCCAGCAGTGCTAAAGAGGAGGGAACTTTGTTTTTCGTGCGTAAGCGTCGTGGTTAGCACGCTGCTCTGCCCTTCTGGCAACTCAATGCAATTCCTGGCCAATGGAAGTGGTGGGCTGGGCCTCGCCTAGGTTAACTCAGCCTAATATGAGCACCTTGTGCAGTGCATGGTGCCAAATACATCACCACCATGTGTACCCTGCTGGCCTTAATAGGAACTCACTAACAGCACTTGACTTGATGGTTTATTTTGCGTAAATGTACAGCACGGGGAACTCATGAATAACAAAGCGTCGTCACGATTCTTGCCGCCTGGCTTTCATCCTGCCTGGTTGCTGCGCTTAAAAACGCACGTGTTTTAAAGATAAAAGTGTGTTTACATTAACATCGTTTTTAAATCCCTGTAGCAGCTATGTCTATTTCTCCTTCTTCGGAAAAAAAAACCCTTAATCTATCATTCATCACAAATTCCAGAGAGCATTGAATAAAAAAAACACATTGACATGTTTTCACGACGACGTACCAAGCACGTGCAGAGCAAACTTGCAGAAGCACGTGACTTGGTACTTAACAAGCGATTGGGCAGTTACACCAACACTGGGAGCTTGTGTTGGACATGAATCACTCTGCGTATCATGGCCAAACTTAATTCCAGGACACCGCTTGAATTTGGAATTGCCTCCTATCGTCGCGTTTCCCAAGTTCTTATAGCATTGCTTGGTTGAAGAGTTACATTAACGCTTACCTTTTACGCCTTCGTGAGCGCTGTTTGTTTCTGGCTGCTTGGCATTTTTGGGCCTTAATGCCCCTGTTCAGCAAGCATGAAAGACTTGCCCACTTAGTGTTTAATTGTAGCAACAGATGCATTAAGTGGTAAAATAATTGTGGGCATGATCATAGCAGTAAAGTAGCACCGGCTAACTAAAACGATGATTCCTCATCATGGGTAAACTTAGTACACAATTGGTATTTAAATAATACTGGTGATGATGGTGGTGGTGGTAATGTGGTGCTGGATTATAGGATTATCTGGTCAGGTGGCTCAGCTGTAGAGTGAGCATTTCACAATTTGAAAGGTTGTGACTTTATATCCTGAATGGGGGTTTACTTGCCTCATCATCGCTCTGGCATCATATGCAATTGGCACCAATTTGTGGAGGAAGTCAACAGCAGTTATCCTATTGGCATTCGACTCACTGTAGAAATGTGAAATTTCCATCACTGCCTACTACGGTACCTAAGAAGGCCCCTCATGAACCTGGAAACTGCCGGCTAAAAAGGCTCTCGGCACCCCAGGCCCGGTTGCTACCAAGTTGCATGACACGACATGGACAGATTTTTTTAATGACGTGACACGTGACTGCATCTGGTGATGGTGTCCCGTGAAAATCACTGTTAGAGGCAGGCAACGGAATACCGCTCACCAGCGAATGCTCTTGCGGGTTTACAGCTCAAGATGAAACAAAAAAAACAAACTCCGTATGCACTCAGCCAGGCGGGGGAGAGAGGTTGGGTGACTATGCTCCCACGTTGGCTTAGCGGTGGCCTGTGCAGCGTGTGACGTGGGGAAACCCTCGCGAAATGTCGCCGTTCGCGCGTGTGCGGCGTGCAGAGTCGGGCGCCCCGCGGAGGCCCGTGCTTCTGCGCCGCGCGAGCGACGTGACGGTGCGGGCGGGATTGGGCGCCACCCTGGACTGCGCCGTGAGCGGCCACCCACGTCCCAGCTTGCGCTGGCTCAAGGAAGGTCACCCCGTCCGGGAAAGGTAGCGAGCGCGCTCGTCGGACCCGCGCCGTCTCGCGGTTCGCCGGTCGCGGTGCACGCGTGGTCGCGTGCCGGAGGGGCGGGGCGGGGCGGGGCGGGGCGGCGGTTGTGACTCGCAGTAAAGTCCCGGCTGAGGTTTCGCTTGCTCTGTCATCCCCGCTCGGCAGGTTTTTTTTTTGAGTGAGTGGCCCTTTCTCGAGAGTCCACAGAGGTTGTCTCGTCCACTGGGCGCCACGGTGGCTAGGAGATGTTAACTACCTCGCCCGGTATACAGGAAGCCGTGGGTTTCATCCCGACCCTGACGACTGTATCTTTGGACTTTGGTGTCTCGCTGCCCGTAGTCGCGTGGATTTTTCTCCGGATCCTCCAGTTTTTCCCTCCACATTAAGAATCGACATGTTTTTAGAGCATTTGGCTGCTATAAATTTCCACGTGATAAGCCACATCGCTGAGCTATCATTTGTGGTGGCCAGGTCGCTTCTGAAATAGAGCAATGTATCTCAGTGGGCCGTACCTGGTAAAATAAAAAAAAATAGTTTAGTTTAGACTGGTAACACGAATGTTTGTTTCACAGGTGGTGCTACTGATTTCCTCCCTAATTATCGCTCACTTTGAGTGTTTCCTGTATTCTCCTACGGACGGGTTTTCTCCAGGTACTCCCATTTCCTCTACCCTGAAAAATACTCCTTCATGCAATTGGCCAAACATCCGAATGCAGCACCCTGCTGGAAAACAGTTGTGAGGCTCAGTCAGGCTTTCCTCCAATTAAACAAAGGAAATGGTTTGTATTATGTTAACAGGAAGATGCTTTGACATATTGACTTTATATATATAAAAAAATGCTTGCTTACATCTTCATTTGCATTCTAATTAGATTTAATTAACATCATTCAATTCGTTTTAAGCGTTTAGTTTTACTCTGCTGAAAATCGTATTTGCGCCCTAGAGAGTTTAATGCATGGCCCTTGGCTATAACATTGGGCTGCTTATGCAAGTGGAAACCAATGCAGGGGTTGTGATGTGTTACAAATGTCACGAGGATACACCGATCCAGAAGGTTCATTTCTTTGGTGGTTAAATTACACTTTCTTCTGGCAATTGCACAAACCTAGTGAATATCAATCTTGATTGGAAGCTTTCGTGACTGCAGGAATCCATACTCTTTGGTTCTTTCGACGTTTTGATCGCAACACAAGCAATCGTCATCAGGTGGAAAGATACAGCAGTAGAACTGAATATCATATGTTCGTATCAATTACTGTACACATCATTAATGAAGCAGCAGATTCCAACATTTGCATCCTTTATTGACGCCTGCTAAAACCCAACAATTGAGTACGACGTTTTGCTGGTAATTACATCCAGCATCATTGGTGATTGGCGATTTGCCAGAAACGTCATATTCAAATTGTAAATGTTGTGCATTTACTCTCCAACACACTGGCCTGCTGAAGTCGTAACTAATTGGTGCATTTTATTTACAAGACAAACCTTACTGAATGTGTCGGGTGGTGGTGGTGGGTTACGACACATTTCTACATATGTGATCTAACCCAAAAAACCTTGATTATGAATAATATCGATCGCAAAAGCCTACGTGTTAAAATGCTCACTCTTTTTCATGCATCTTGGACATCATCTATCTCATAATCTTAGTTCTTTCGGTAAAGTCATGTTGAAGGGAAACAATAAAATAATAAAATATATATAAAACGAAAGAACTAAGAATATGAATTACTGCAGTCACGAAAGCTTTAAATCAAAATCATCTATCTCATTTGGGTGATACGATCAAATGACCCAGAATGTGCTCAGCCCTGCCAGATCTTGGAAGCTGAGCAGCGTTGAACCTGGTTAGCTCTTGGAGGAGAAATTCGGGTTTTTAATGCTTGGGCTCCGAGGTTTTATTATCATTCGGGACTGCATGGTTGAATGTAACTTCATCGTATGGGGGTCATGTTGTTTGTCAGGCTGGCACAGTTGCTTTGTTTAACCTAAGGGTTACCACCCATATATATTTAGATTTTACGTCATTTTAATCAGAAGCTGCTCGACTTATTTTTACAGCCGCTTTAGCCGCTTTGACTGTTATTTACTTAAATTTCATGATATTTAACCTTCACCTGCTCAAACAGTTGTCTTACTTAACCAAGCACGCATAATCCATAAAACACATTAACTAAGCATTCGAAAAGCGTCTAAAAAGAAGCCCTAGTGTACTGTGCATGTTATCTTAAATCTGTGGTCAAGTTGATGTTTACAGTATGCCTCTTCTTATCTGCAACTTCTTATCCTATTACCCGCCACTCCTATGATTCACACGAGCTGTGGGGGTCTGCAAAAACTCCTATTATTCCTGGTCCTTTTCATCATACTCTTTGGTTCTTTCGGTAAAGTCACGTAGGTAGAAAATTAAAATAAGATATCACGACGTTTCGATCGCAACACAAACGGTCGTCCTCAGGCGGAAAGAAAAAAAAACCGAATCATTCTATCCCAGTGCAATATGGGTGCAACCAAGGGAATTGTGTGGTGTGTATTAGAGTATATATTCAGTTATTTAAATGACGGGGAAATACGTGCGGCTTAATTTCTCCGAGTGTACCCGACGCACCAACTTTGGGAATGTGTCGGCAATCTATTTGTCTCGAAAGACGTGGCCGAAAAGAACTGGCTGTTGATGTACGCGTCCCAAATGACAGCACCCGCACACGAAGCACTTTAACTCCATTAGGTGAAATGAAAAGCCCGAAGCTCCGGGGGCTTGGCGAAATAAATATTGAATTATTGCATTAGCTAATGCTGTTGGGTCATGCATGCCTGCTTGGGGAATACCGAACAGAAAGTTGTCAATTTTTTTACCTCTCAACTGTCATTATTGTTCACGTATTCAAAACGCTCTTACTACTCATGTCAGCAAGGGTTAATTGCATGTGTTAATGCCATGCGAGTACTTTCCGATACACAGGTGTGCTGAACTAGTAAATAATTGGCACGTTTTGTTTACGTGACAAACCTTTATAATTAGCTGTGTCGGGTGGTGGCGGGTTTAATGACAGGGACTGATAAATCCATGAGATGACTCGAGAGAGATACTAAGCTATCAATCAAGAACCAGGATTTGAATTTGTACCAACTGTGCATCAAGCGCACTAACTAGAGCACCATCCAGCTAGTTAATTTCTAACTTTCAATACTCTTATTCTGCTATGCCATTGCTTTAGCCCTGCTGTGAGAACCGTAATACACCCACTCATTTTGAGTGATTATAATCCCTCTCATCCAACTTTATGTCATCCAAGTTTACGTCTGGGTATATTATGCCCTGTAAAAAGTTACATCTTGGTATAAAACCATTAATGAGATTAATCGTACAAAATTGACGGTGATCTACGCTACAATGTCCCCATTACTCATTTTAAAGACTCATAAATGAGTTCATTCGCATTTTCCTCCTTTGCTTAGCACAGTTTTCATGTACCGTACAGTACTGTAGTAGTGAAATATTTACAAAAGAATTAATCTGGTTATGTTAATCAACGTTTACTTGATACAAGCACAGCCTTATGTTTGCGTTATTTAACATTCCATGCCTTTTGCTGCATCTTCACAGTATTGTTCTTACCCTGTGTTAAAACGTTTTAGTTTATATCACAGGGGATAATCTAAGTATTTGCCACTGAAGATGACCGTATATAACCGTGTCCCAATCTCCCTCGTCCACGCACTATCGACAGTTACAAGGCTGGTGGTGTGGAGCGGAATCTCTTGTGCTGTGTGTTGCGACTTTGCGAAAATGCAATCACTCGCACAAGTGGCGCTTGCAAATGTCGGGACGGGAACGTTCACATTTTAGCCTCGAGCAAAATCGGGGAGAGTCTGCAGCGCCGGGAAGGCAGTGCGACCGTGCACTAAAGGAACACGCTCGTGGACACTCGTCGTCATCATCAGCCATCGTCTATCCACTGCTGAATGAAGGCCTCTCTACACCGCCATCTCTCACAGTCCAATGCAGGCTCCCATTAATCTCACTCGTGCACATGGTGGCCTGAGATGTTAACCAACTCGCCTGGAATGCAGGAGTTCACGTGTTCGATCCCGACCCTGACGGTTCTACACTCCACATTTAGAATCAACATGCGTTTAGAGTATCCGGCTGCTATAAATGTCCACGTGATAAGCCACTTTGTTGAGCTATGATTTGTGGCTAGATCGATTCAGAAAAGTAGCTATTGAGTTAGTCAATAGTTAATTAGTTTTCACTCCTGCACATGAACTGATCTCATCGCTACTTCTTTCCACAGCGGTCGTCCGCTTGGACGTGTTCTGTTCACTGGCTCCCGTTCCATCACCGGTCTCATCCAGCGGCCATCCACCCTGGCTAGCAATGTGTCCTGCCTGGATTCTACTCTGATTCTGTGTAAATGCCAAAGGATCAACAAGAGAGCCAAGCTATAGCAAATTTACGAAAGACCTTCCGAGCAGCGGTAGGAAATACCCCAAGCTATTCTGAATGGCTCCTTTCTTTACTTTCCCGTTAGGAACACGCTCTTGCCGTGAGCGGCCTTTGTTCGCTAACAGTTCTTGTGAATTGTTTCTTTTGCAGTTCCGGCAGGGTGACCATGCTGCCGAATGGACAGCTGAGGTTTTCCGAGGTCGCTGTGGAAGACTCGGGGATTTACCAGTGTGTGGTGACCGGTGAAAATGAGACCCTCAAAGCTCATGCCGAGCTCTCCGTGCAGAGTAAGGAACACGCGCCGGTTAAATTAAGACGAACGCTTCATGTGCCACGGAACAGTTGGCCGACAGAGCCTTTGGATTATTCCTTCGATGGCTCCTTTTCTAGGGCTGTTGCCTGACACTACGTGTATGTTGTGATGTTTGCGGGAGCTCCATCAGATTAATATCGCTTGTGTCTGTAACAGATGCGGTACATTGTTTAGAAAATGCTCAGATCAAAGGAAGGTGGTAGATGTCAAATTTAAAATACTTAATGATCCTCTTTGCAGATTTGATTGTTGATATGCATGCCACCAGCAGACTTAAAAAAAATACAGCCAATGAGTTATATTAAAATGGCTAGTGCCTCCACACTGCATTGTGCACTGAAGAATAACTCAAATCCATTGGTGTCACTTAGCGAACGAAAGAAATACCACATTCTTATTCCAAAGAGCGAGTCTATCCACATATCAAAGAATGCTGAATTGCCATGGTACACTATAATTTTACTAACCCCAGAGAGACGATGCCCTGAGTTGACTCCCCCACACTGGGATTTCAACTCTCAACCTTCTAACAGCACTACTCAACACCAGATTTCACCAGCAGTGACATTAACCAAGGGGTTTTTATACATATATGGTACAACAGACATTTGTATTATGAAACATACGTTTATACAAGCGGACACTGGCACATTCCTATTTTTTTCCCTTAATGTCTATTTTCACGAGGGCTATTTTTGTTGGCAATTTTACCTATGGAGGCTGGGATCTACCCATGCATCTTCTAAATGACTATTGGAGCGCGTGTATAGCCGGGGGCCTCCTTTTCAACCATGCCAGAATCTCCGTTATTTCGAAGTCTCAAGCCCTGGGGCTGAGAATCGAAAAAAAAATAAATTGTATCCTGCGGGTAGAAGTGTGTCCATGACCAGAGATGCTGATGCCCCTCAGACTCGGTCAATGATTGACTGCAATGCAAAGTAAAAACATTGTCCGGCTCGACTGGATTTTCACACTGCTCTAAAAATAGCGAAACGAGACGGACGCAGCTGAGGAGCGCAACAATAGTTCACTGGGAAGATCTCTCTCTCTTATTCGAGAATTGCGACAGCATGGGGCTTTGTGGGTGAGAGGAAAGTGCACGTGTGCGTAGGCGTTTTGATCTTTTGCGGCGGCATCAAAATAATACTGGCAATTGTGAAGTCGAAAAATGTCGAAAGAAGTCAAGTTGAGGAGATTGTCATCATAAGTGGCATTGCAAATGGGAATACGATGTGCTTAACCAAATTGTCTTGTTTTAAAGTCAATGTTTTCATTTGCTGCACACCTTTAAGCAGAGGCATTGAGAAGTATACCACATTTGTCCAATCCAAGTACAGCAGCAAGAGCCGGTATTTCCCATCCTTTGAATATATTTCATCTCCACAGGCCTCCCATAGATGATGCAAGTGAGCAGGGTAGGCCAATCCAGACATATGAGGAATATTTATTTCGGAATAATTAATGCAGAAAAGTAATGCCGCAGATGCGTAATGGGCTAGGCATGACCTGATGCCGCGTTGGAATACGCAACAGCTGTGCAGCTCTCTGGGTGGTTGAAGCAAATCCGCAGCTGGTCGCAAAGTGGTTTCACAGAGTGTGGTCCAATCAAGATTCAAATCCAACACCGATGGAGCAGCACACAGGGAGTGCTTTTGCCATTTGTTATCGTGCAACATATAAACGACTAATTACTAAAAAAAAAAATGTTTTGTTAAATATACCAAATATATGTTTTATTAGATGTATTGGGAAGCTGCTGGAGCTATACACTTTCACATCGTCTAAATTGAAAACGCATTTCTTTAGAACTGTTTTGTGTGGTTGGTTTGTTGTCCGTCCACCGCACCTCCGATTAGCACGGTTGACTACGTACGGTGCGAAAGAAGTTCAACATGCATCCATGAAAACATACAAATGGGCAACAGGGTGGACTGGCGGACTGGGAACCGCTACACCGTTCTTAAGGCGTGTGTTTCGCGAAACAACGTAGCGAAATGAAATTGTAAGATGTTAAAATGAATCGGTTGCCGGCCTGCACTTTCACGTCATCGCTTGTCCAATATAATGACCGGTTTTGGCGTTTGTTTAAATTGCGTGACAACGGAGTAAAAAAATACATAAATCGGGCCATGCACTCAAGTGAACAAAACACAAATTTTTATTTGGAGGCACAGACATTAGGAGGCATTTAGCGCGTTTCAGCAGACACCGCCGACCGGTCTGAGGGGCTTAGCGAAGGATTATGTGGTAAATTAACTCTGAGGCATGGAGGCAAGTCCAAGTTCACCATCTGCTATACAATAGAGAACAGTGTATGTATATATACACAAACGTGATGTTATAATCAACCACTCATTTGTCAGATATTTCCATTCTATTGTTAGCATGACAATATGCGAAGCGTCGCTGAATAAAGACGCCGCAGTGGTCGTCGCATGGAGAGTATGGAACGGATGCCATGGTAATGTGGAGTTTCCACCACTGTCTGAGGGCAGCCAACAGGGATGAGAGCGGGGAGACTTTGTGAACTTTGACCTGACCTTGGTCAAAGTGAATTTGACTGCGGGCCTAAATGGTCGACAACAGAGGAGAAGTGCAGCAAAATCGATTGTCGTATTGTACTGTACTACTATGCTCCCACTCCTGTGCTCCCCACCTTCACCAACCCGCAATAATTATCGGTGTGGTGAAGTATGGTCAAATGACCCCCATGACGCGCGTGATATACAGATGATTTGTCCATTGCGAAAGAAGTTCATCTTACGTACGTACATGCCTTCATGCAGCGGTGTATTAATAAAAGGCTGCGCTTGAACATGAACCTCACCATACAGCCTGCGTGTACCTAAGCCGTGTACCTAACTCGTTGCATTGTGGATTTGCTGCTACCACGATTTGTTTTTTGAGCAATCTATTCTTGATTCTTACGTATGGCAATACGAGCCACATAAATCCCCCCCAGTCTTTTGCAGCATTTCACATGAGTTTATTATTGGCCACGATCTCACGGGGGGGGGGTGGGGGGAGGTATGCTCACAGGTAAATTTATCCTTCGTGTGAGCGCCTTGCGTTCGCTGGGGAAGAAAGAGTTGGCCACTTAAAGTGGCAGGCAGCTCAGTGTGTGTGGAGGAGGGCGGGGGGTCGAATTCCATGAACTAATTGCACTCGCACCACTGAGAAGGTTAGGTCACCCACATTCAGTTGTACCCAACTCAATGTGGGATTTTCATCGGACCCCATTGTCTTTTGCTTTCCAGGTCACGGGTGTGCAGGTATACACTGGCAATGACACAATGTACTCATGGATAAAACATTTTTTTAACACCTCACTACAAGAAGATTAAAAGGAATTTACTGCGTTCTGCAGGTCATAAGACGTTACAGGAAGTAAGGCGCATATCCCAAACATATGCCCGGTGTCAATATATGTATCCAAATATGGTCATATATATACACACACACACCTACCTACCAGATTATAAGATTCACTCCCAAAGGAGAATGCAATATTACCAGTCTCAATGTCGCTCCTAATGTCGTGGGTCTGGGTCCCAGAGTTTGCGTAGTTTCCCTGCAAATAATACAAATAATACCCCCCTGGGTATTCTCTGGTAGTCCACATCAGCTGGGTTTGGCTTGCTGAGATGAGCTACATTTGGTGGTAAATAAAATGTACCTTTTGCTTACTCGTTTTACAAACCTCACTGATGCAGCATTGGCATCATTTAAAGTCAAGGAGAAACAGGTTTTGTGGGGTGGTACTCCTTACCCACGGTGGCAAGATGTTAGCGACCTCGCCTGGTATACAGGAGGTCGTGTCTCGGATCCTGTATATTTCGAGTTTGCATGTTCTTTCTGTGGTCGTGTGGATTTTTCTCAGGGTCCTTTCGGCTTTTCCCTCCACATTGAGAAACATGCGTTTAGAGTATTTGGCTGCTGTGCATTTCCACATGATAAGCCACTTCATTGAGCTATCGTTTGTGGCCAGATCACTTCTGAACAAGAGCTATATAGCTCAGTGGGCCTTACCTGGTAAAAAAAAATATTTTCTAGTTAAATCATCAATTATACATTTTCCCTTGGAAGTCCTGAGTCAGAGGTGGAAGTTCCATACTCCTATGCTGAGTATCAACCTACATCGAGCCACCAATGGTAATGAATTTCCACAATTGTGAGTACTCATTGTGTCGACCACAGACAAGTGATGACCTAATTCGTTGCACGACCAAGATTTTAACTTGCAACTTTTAACCCATGCACCGAGCCGCGGTAGACGTTGCCACTTTCGTGGCAACGTCGACTGGGGGCGCGTCTGGATTAATGAGCAATTAACATTCTGCAAATAACTTTAGATTACTTTTCACTGGTCACGCCCCGCGCTTACATAGGCCTGCGGTTGGTTTCCTTAATCGGAAATTTGCAACATCAACAGAAACAAAATGCGGCGTGTTTACGCACTTTAAAAGTGTACTGGCAAAAGAAGGACATTTGAACAGTTGGTTATTCGTAATGATCCTCGCCAAGTCGGATTGTTTACGGTAATGTGGAGAAGGGAGCAACGTTACCTGGTGCACACCAGCCATGAATGCCTAAGGTAGGCAGGCCTTGTGAGCCCACCAGCACAACAGGTTGTGTAATCCGTTGGGAAACCCATGACATTTATAGGTATTGTGCCTTGGGGGGTAGGGGTTGGGAGAGAAGGGGGGGGGGCGTCTGAATTAAAATAGAATTGCTTTTAACCCTTCCCTTCCTTCACAAATAATCCAGCCAGGTGGCTCAGGGATAGAGCAAGTGGCTAGCAATCCTGATTGGGGTGTTGACTCAGAATCAGAATCTTTCTTCATCCTGGAGGAGTTTACGCTATCCATTCCACTGGGGTCGATAAAATATGTACGTTACAGTACGTACCATTTTTTTCGGGAAGTCAGAAGTGGTTGTTCTGTGCGTGAACTCACCCCCACCAAAGCACTGTGG